CATGGCTCCATATATAGATATGTAAGAGTCGATGGGGTCCATGAACAGATATGTTAAGACAAGTCCCGCTCACAGTGACCCCGTGGGACAGGCTAGAACTGTCCCACCAGGAGGTCTCGGCAGTACTACAGAAGCACATCACCAGTTGTTTCTCCTGCAGAGTCACCGGATGAGTCTGCACTGACAATCATTTGGTTAGCAGTCCAGTACTGGACCGTTTGTCCACCTGCCCTCCTCACAAGTCTATGAACACTTGAAGGCCATGATCCCTTCTTCAGAATCCAGCCTGCTGCAGTGCCCTCCCTCCAGTGAATGGGACTCACCTGACACACGTGCTTGGGATGTTCTCCTGAATTTCAGAGCCATGAACCTGACAGAATTCTCGTAACATGGAGGGCCAGCTGTTGTTTTCCATGAATCGTACCACTGTATCTTCAGGGGTTATGTTTTCTTCATCATTAATATTTTGAGATGCTGATAAAATAATTTAAATTCAGGTTCATAATATAAAATATAAAGGATAAGCATTAATTAGAGAGAAAACGCAGCTGTGAGAACAGAAAGACTGTCATATTTAATTGTTTCAATACTTTGGACGGGATCCAAAAGCGATTTACTAGGAAAACCTCCAATGAAGTTTGGGAATGAAAATAGCAGGAGGGTTTAACTAGATGACTTAAAAAAGGATGTGGATACAAGGCACTTGTAACATTAAAACTAAAAGAAGAAAAAGGATGATCTTTTTTCATAAACACGGGTTTTATTTTTGATGATTGTCAACAAACAAGGTCAGGTATCAGTGAGGTTCCTTTCCTCAACTACAGAGGCCTACTCTAACTCATGTATTCCAATCCCATTCCTTCCTCGCAGGAAGGTAAGTCAATGGTTTCTGACCTTCCTGATGCTTGCTGGATGAGCAATAAGGGTTGGACCTGGGCACACCTATGGTCATCAGACTAGCAGAGAAGTGCACCGTTTGAACATTCAAACTCCTCGACATAATGGATACCGATGCCAAAATACATGGAGATCTCCAAAGAATGATGGACCTACAGATGTAGAAAGGAAACAAGGACCCTTCCCATCAGCCGACCGAAAGAAAGGTCCATCCTAGGGCCGGAACCCTGAATTCAGACTTGGGGCCTCCTAAACTGTGAGGATACATTTCTGGTTGTGAAAGCCATCCACGTGGGGTATTTCTATTCTAGCAACATTAGATAAATAAGACACTGATCTTTTCTCCTTCTTCAAATTTTCCTACGTTTTAATGAATGGATGTTTGCAGCTGTTTCTTCTCCTCTGAATCAAATCACATCAGAGAATGAAAGTTCTGAAAGCTTTGTACTGTCGACTTTCTTAAGGTCAAGTCTACTTTGAGGAGACAGCTCTTCTCCAGTCATACTGTAAGTGCCTTCCAGTCTAAGGGGCTAATCTTGTTTATGAAAAAAGATCAATCTTCCAATGCTCATCAGAACATTTCCACCAGGTGGCTTTTCAAAAGTGGACCACCTCTCTCTTTCTAGTCTGTGTCCCGTTCGAAGCTCTGCTGAAGCCTGTCCATCACGGGTGAACTTGCTGGTAACTGAAACACTGGTGGGATAGGTTCCAAAGTAACAACCTGCAAGCCACCGCAGTATGACCAACTGCCGGAATGATGGTGGAGTTCAATACGTGGAGGTTGAATTCAAGTGGAAGCCAGGATATGCACGCTCCAGAGAGCAAATTACCGTAACTGTATCATTCAACAATACATTACCCATCCTCAGCTCTCATACTCAATTAACACCAAGTATTTGGTGAATACATTTTAAAAGAAATGAAGGTATCCATACCTGCCAGGTTTCTGAAGGTTTCCATCATTACATCTCTGTAGAGTTGCTTCTGAGAAACATCCAGTAATTCCCACTCTTCCCAGGTAAAATCCACAGCCACGTCATCAACAGTCACGGAGTCCTAAAACAGCCCACATATTCTGTTTCAGCAAGGTACCACGTATTCCAATAGGTGTGAAAGGAAAGGTGAGGACAGTCTGAGGAACTGAGATTTCATGGGGAAATTTTCACAGGGTTCTGTGTTCTACTAAGGTCTACTCTAGGGTTTTCCCATCAGCCTCAATCCTTCACTGGCTCCATTAACGAGAAGCCTTCAAAAAGTTCATGGAAAAGTCCCATTACCTTTTTTTGTTGTTGTTATCATTTTATTGTGAATTAAGTGAAGATTTACAGAGCAGATCCTCAGTTTTACATTCAATATTATTTATTAAGTTTTTATTGTGAATTATGTGATCGTTTACATGGGAGAAAATTATCTTTACTTTCATCCTACTGTATTTCATTTCATTGCAGTGATTAAATTCCCCTGCATGCATCATCAAACCACCAAAGGGTAAAACCTGCAAGCCTTCCCCCTGGCCGTCAGCATACACACCCTCTCCCCTCCCTGGGTCCAGAGTCCCAAGCCACTCCATCACTCTATGTCATTGTTTCTGCCTCCATCCGGCACATCACTGCTTCTCTGGATAAGGTCCTGCACTTTGCTTTGCTCCCTTTATAGCTCCAGGGACCTCCACTCCTGCACTGCAAAATCAACCACTCCCCGGCTTTTGTTACAAAATGCCTACCTTTCCAACCCTCAGTCAGTCCTGATAGTCCATTCCCTTAGGCACCACAAGAGTCTTATCCCCATCATCTTTCAGCATCCCCGTCCTGACAGCTTGGAAATCACTCAATGGAGATTCTACCTTTCCCCATACCTTCTGGAACTAGGTTCCCAAATGAAAGCTTGTAAGCCAGTTACTACTCGCTTTTGAAGCCCACACCATTTTGAGTAGCTAATGTCTAAGGTGACCATCCTTGTTGATCCTGTGTACCTAGGGAGCAGGAATCATCCTACTGCATCCACAGGCATAGGTCAATATAAAAAAAATTTATGTGCATCAAAAGACTTCACCAAAACAGGAAAAAGGGAACCCACAGAATAGGAAAAAATCTTTTGCAATGACGCACCAGACAAGGGACTAATTTCTCAAATATACTGGAACCTAAAAACACCTCTACAAGGACAAATAACCTAATTTAAAAATGCACACAGTACAGGAACAGACACTTCACCAAGGAGGAGATCCGGGCAGCCAATAAATATATGAAATGTTCACGATCACTAGCCATTGTTGTTGTTGTTGTTAGGTACCATAGAGTCGGTACCAACCCATAGTGACCTTATGCACAACAGAACGAAACACTGCCAGATCCTGGGCCAGCCTCACTATTGTTGCCACGCTTGAGTCCACTGATGCTGCCACTTGGCTAATCCATCTCATGGGGGTCTTCCTCTTTTTCTCTGACCAGCCACATTACCAAACATTGTATCCCTCTCCAGAGACTGGTCCTGCATGATAATATGTCCGAAGTATGAGATTTGAAGTTTGACCATCTTGGCCTCCAAGGATCACTCTGGCAGCACCTCTTCCAAAATGGATCTATTGGTTCTTTTGACAGCCCATGGCACTTTCAATAGTCTCCTCCAACACCATAACTCAAAAGCCTCAATTCTTCTATGGTCTTCCTTATTCACTGCCCAGCTTTCACATGTATATGAGGTTATCGAAAATACCATGGCTTGGGTCAGGCCCACCTTAGTCCTCAAGCTGATGTCTTTGCTCTTGAGCACTTTTAAAAAGGTCTTGTGCAGCAGATTTGCTTAATGCAATATGTCATTTGATATCTTCACTGCTGCTTCCATGAGTGTTGATAGTTGATCCAAGAAAAACAAAGTCCTTGACAACTTTAATCTTTTCTCCGTTGATAAGAATGTTGTATATTGGTCCAGAGGTGAGGATTATTGTTTTCTTTACAATGAGATGTAATCCATACCAAGAGATTCAAATCAAACAATGAGATATCATCTCACACCAGCAGTAACAGCAAAGATCAAAAAAGTAGAGGACAATACATTCTGGCAAGGATGTAGAGAGACTGGGACTCTCCTACATTGCTGGAGGGATTGCAAATGGTCCAACCACTCTTGAAAACTATATGGCACTTCCTTAGAAGGTTGGAGATAGAGATCTCTTAAAATCCAGTAATTCCTTTACTTGATGTTTATCCACAAGAAATACAAGCCATAACACAAGTAGATATATGCACAACAATGTTCATATCAGCACTATTTATAATAACAAAAAGATGGAGACAGCCTTAGTACCCATCTAGGGAAGAATGGATAAACAAACTTTGGCACATAACATAATGGAATATTATACTATATCGAACAGTAACAAGGAAATTGTAAGCCACCAGAAAACATGGATGAACCTTGAGGACATTATGCTGAGTGAAGAAATTTGGAAGACAACTATCTGACCGACTGATTGGAAGAGATCTATATTTGTGCCCATTTCAAAAAGAGGTGACCCAACGGAATGATGAAATCATCAGAGGATCTCTTTGATATCACATGCACGTAAAGTTTTACTAAAGGTAATAATACAGAAATGGCTGCAAGCACACAGTGACAGAAAACTTCCAGAGGTTCAAGCCGGACTCAGAAGAGGCCGTGGAATGAGGGATATCATTGATGTCCGATGGATCTTGGCTGAAAACAGACAATATCAGAAAGATATCTACCTGTGCTTTACTGACTACGCAAACGCTTTTGATTGTGTGGATCATGACAAGGTATAGACAACATTGAAAATTATGAGTATTCCAGAACACTTAACTGTGCTCATGAGGACTCTGCAGCTGGACCAAGAGGCAGTTGTTTGACGAGAACATGGGAACACTGAATGGTTTCAAATTAAGAAAGGTGTGTGATAGGATTGTATTCTTCCACCATACTTATTCAACTTGTATGCTGAACAAATAATCCAAGAAGCTGGGTTATATGAAGAAAACCGTGGCATCAGGATTGGAGGAAGACTCAGGAACAACCTGTGATATGCAAGTGATACAACCTTACTTGCTGATAGTGAAGAAGACTTAAAGTATTTACTGATGAAAATTAAAGAGCACAGCCTTCAGTATGGACTGCATCTCAACGTGAAGAAAACAAAAATCCTTACCACTGGACCAATAAACGACAGTCTTATCAACAGAGACAAGATTGAAGTTGTCAAGGACTTCATTCATTTTGGATCAACTATGAACACTCATGGAAGCAGCAGTCAAGA